TATAAAATCCTTTTTTTTTGCAATGAAATACATCTGGTAACAAAATGTTGAGAGCTTGTTACATGTAGGTGGAATATAAAGGCTTAAGCAATACCCCAAAGGGGTTCTACAAAAAGTTAAGTACTGTTTGGTGGGGAAGGTGATGCAGTCTGCAACATACCGGGGGTCTGAAAGGACATACAAAGATGAGACATTAGCACGTATCACAGAAAAATAGATTAATTAATCTAATTAGCAGAATGATATCTTTCCTTTTGTTTCATGTTACAAAGCCCTTCACTTTTACTTACCTACTTAAAAGTAGGTGTGTATTAATAGCAAACTAATTAATCAAACACATATCAGAGGTGAAATTAAGAGCTTATTTACAAGTAATGCTTGGAGCTAATAGAAAAAAAAATGGTTTTGGAAGGAGTTTTAGAAAAATTACCTTGATCAACAGACATCAGTGAAGATTATTTGGATATGTTAAAGTTGCTGTCTCAAAGTGAATGGATCTGCTTCCATTCCCTGTTATCTGAAGGTTCAACCCATGTTAGCTATGTGCTAGAAACCTCACTGAGCTTGTCTGCCTTATAGCTGGCTACAATACTAAACAAAAAACAAACAAACAAACAAACAAAAGAAACAAACCCAACTCCCTGTCTTTGAGTTCTGTGCATGCATCAAAGATCAGCTGCTCTTTACCTGGTACTCATTTAAGCAAAGATTTTTGAAATCTTCTTGAACTAACCAAAATTGTGTTTGACAAGAGCAGACTAAAACAGGGTGCTGAACAAGGCTTGTCAAATATGTCCTTTCTAATATAGTGTAATATGGTCATTTCAAGGAGCATTTTGGTGGAGCATGAAGTGAGGTTAGTTGTGATGCATTGGCTTTCCTTTTCAAAGTAAGGAGCTCTAAATCAGAGTGGAAAAGCCATGGAGAAATGAAAATCTCTTGGCTCCTCACTGGGAGTTAGGTACTGGGTGAACACCTAAGAACAGAGCTCACAGGTAAGATCTCACCTCCTCACTTCTGATGACATTCAACACATCATATGTCTCTCCCATACACAGTTGCTTCAGAGATTTTTAAGAGCTGTTGTTTCCACGTGCATGTGCCCTCTCCCTTCCCAAATTCCACAGGCACAGGTGGCACAGTGGCTCAGCTGGCATTCAACCTGAGCACTTCTGAAAAAGTGCAACCCAGTTAGGAGGAACAGCCCTCTCTTCCAGCTATGGTCCTCAGGCAACAAATCCCACTGCAAACCACTTGGTTTCCTCTGATTTCCACTTTCATAGGCCACCATCAAAATTAAAAACAGAAAAACCGAATGCACAATGGGAAACTACTGCTCTCGTGCAATGTCTATGTTCCTTCAGAAGACTGCTTCCTCAAAGAGGTCCTCCAACCAAAGATGCAGACCAAAGACTTTTGAATAAAATTTCTTCAGACATAGAATCCACATTTTTCGGGGTTTCAGCCATTGTGACAGCCACTGCCCTCCAGTAGCTTTCCTGAGCAGCCTCATCACTGGCTGACTTCGCACTCCACAGGGCCGTGAAACTTCACCATTTTCCATTTCCACCTCCATTCTTGGCAGTGGTGGTAATTGGTGTTCAGAAACAGAAAATCTAATTTTGGCAGCATACCCAGGGCAATTCATGAGAAGTCAACCGAGCTTGGGCCTCAATGGTATCACCGTTTACCAACATTTACTGAGTCTGAGCAGACCGTTTGCCCTGGGTCACAAAAGTATCAATCCTTTCACACAACTGAGAATGCTACTGCGCTTTCTCCTGCATGAGTTGGTTGATTCTTGCTAACGATTATGATGTATTGTTATAATTACTCATTATGTACTAATATCTACTGTTTCACAGATACTTTAAGACAACATCTATACCCTATATAGTTGATAGGATCTCCCTGTATGAAAATCCTCATCTTCAATCCTCAATGACTGTGCATTGCTGTGGCTAATACACAGATGTACAAAGGATTTCAGAATTAAAAAAAAAAAAAGAACATACCAGACTCATGACAAGCAGAAGAAGGTTTCCATGCCTCATGAAAGGAAAAGGAAAATGAGAAGTTAAGGAATTATTTCCTAATGTCTCATATGCTTTAGAGTACAGTAGATTGTATGTTTCTAGAAACAGTTCTTCATATACCTCTGCTGTAGCTGAAATACAAAGCTTTTCAATTCAGATTTAGAGCTATAAAAACAGTAAAAATCATCTAGATCATCTGGTCTATCCTCTGCCAACTGAGAACCGCTCCCCAGGTTTGCTAGTGATTTGTGTGTTGCATTACTCTGTGAGTCAAGCAGTGGGGCCTCTTGTATCACCGTGGGGAGACTCTTCCACAGCTCAGTAAGACTAGTCAGCTAGGAATTCTTGTTCTTAATATTGTTTTACGTAATGATGAGATCAATAGGGAGGATATCTGGCTTTGCCTCATAAAAGCTCTAGTTGTGTTCCCTGCTGCATTTCAGCTTTAATTTACGTTCTCTAATCTGCTTTACATTGAACAGCACTGCACTTGCCTTAAATAAATAAATAAATGAATAAGTAAATAATCTCATGTTAGCCCTGTACATCCAACACAGAATAAATAAAATAGGTAAATGCTCCAATACCTGACCTACTTGTTCAGGCTTTGTGAAGGCTCTGCCAAACTTAAGGTTCAGATGTAAATCAAACATCTGAAAGAGGATTCTGTTGCCTCATCACCTACAATGGTTTGTTCCAGATTTTTTTCTTAAACACTAAACCTCAGGAATATTAATATTCTTTGCAAGAGACAGTCCCTTGAAACAATATGACAAGCATATTTTTATAGATCTGCCAAGATGTGATGATATAGTGGCAGTGGGATTTTTATTTTTTATTTTTTAAATAAATCAAGAGTGAAATGCCTGAGATTGAGATGGGCCCAGAACATGGGCTCAGGAAAGCCCCAACAGCTGTGAGCACAGAGGGAGAGGCTGGATGACTCTGAACCCACATCTGGATTCAATGCTGGGCCGGCTCCTCTCTCTGGAATGATGTGAACCAAACACATCAGGCCAAAACCTTTCCAAGGAGGCATGGACAAGGAGCTTAGAGCCTAATACACAGATCTGCCTTTGGCAGACTTGGCGCTTCCTAAATGACCTGGACTGGTGATGGCATCCACAAAACAGATAATTTATAGCTTCGTATTCGAGAATATTGGATAAGTTATTTAATACGCGCCTGATGATGATTGGCAGCAAACTAACATGTTCCCAGCACAGAGGACACCGAGGCACCCTATGACTTCAGCCCCATTTCCCCCAGGGAGACCGACAAGCCCCCCGCCCCACGCACCCACCCCGCAGCCCCGGCCGCTGCCTCCTGAACCCGCAGAGCACACTGACATCTAGTGGGTGTTTCAGGAAGCACCGGGCCGCCTTCCCTGCTTGCTACCACCCCAAAAAAGCAAAGAAGCGCCTCATAGGCCACTCGTTTTCAACCACAAGTTGTCCAGAAGGGGGTCTTGAAGTCTGCCCCCAGACACTCGGCAGTACTGCCTGACAGCAGAGCATCCATCGCCGTCTTCACATCATTTTGAGGCCAGATGAAATTCTCATTGTGCTTCCCTCCTCACCCACTGACCTTTCAAGCCTCCATAAGAAATTGCCAGGTATTCCATATGGGAAGGGAAAGTGCAGTTCTCCTTTTGTAAAGGAGAAAAAGTGATAGCCGAGGAGGGAAGTGCTACAAGTCTATAAGCAACCACAGCTCCTGGGAGCTTTCCACCTCTTCTGGGACTGCGAGCTGTTGTGCTCACCAGGGTCTGATCCTACAACACAGGCCATTTTGCCTTCTCCCACTAAAAAGTGTATAAGTAAAAGTATATATAAAATTATATATTTAATAAAATTAGGAGTTAGAAGAACAGAAAACCAATATTCCTCAAGGACCATCATTACTATACCCATAGTGTTTTGTAAGCACTGACGTGGGATTGACCTCCACCACAGTTTTCAGCAGAAGCAGCTCCCCAGGCAAGGAAGATTCCCCTGTACCAAATTATTTTGCAGCTTTTCTTCTCCTCCCGCTTCATCCCCATCACATCCAGCTCCCAAAAACACCAAGACAGATGGAGAAGAGTATTTAGACTTGCCCATGGTATACTGCTTCTGAAAGAGCTCTGGCATTAGAAGAGGGAAGGATGCTCCTCTTCCTTGCCCCAGATATACCCTGTCCGCAGATCCCACCTCCTTTCTAGGTGTAGATGACAAGTCCCCTTTCGGGGTCTAAGAGGGAAAAGATATCTCCAGGGGATGGAGTCAAATCAACATACATTCCTGCGAAGGGAAGTGGCTTCTGTAGAAGAATGTAGGAAGAGAAAGATATGAGGAAAAAACAGAGGCAAAATACTTTCACTTCCAGACTCTTAATATGACTTTATTCCTTAGCTTAGCTTCTTCCCTCCAAGTTTATATTACAATAAATAAATAAATAAATAAAATAAAAAATCAAGCAAACAAACAAAAACCCTCCAAATCTATCAATCAATTAAACAACAACAACAACAAAAAATAAAAAAATAAGAGCTTTGGTGTTGGATTTGAGGGGGAGCAGGATAGAAAAACCAATTACCCACCCTGACACTGAAGGCCAAGCTCTCACACTGTAAAGCATACTGCTGTACATAAAAAATAGGGAGTTAATGCGGTATATTACACTGAAGGGACCCCAGTATTAGCCAGGCTTGGCCAGCTGCACTGCTGATTCCATCTCTGTCACCACCACCAAAACTCACAGGCTCCTTGTCTCTAGGAGACTGTAAATAGTCAGCTGGACTCGACGCTCCCATCCCAGCACCGCGTCCTCCACTGAACAGCGAGGCACGCTCTGTTTTCTGACACCTCTCCTCCCATGACAGATTTAGGCAGCTCGGGTCATGTACTACCAGCTGGTTACTGACACAAGACTCCTCCTAGGCAAAAGATCTGCCTGCAGCATTTAGATATGGGAAGATGTGTTTCTAATTCCTCCTTTCAAGGTCTCCTTGAACACTGCCCTCTGCTAGTTATTGGGCTTGTCCTCCACAGCATCTCCCGGCGATCCACGTCAGGATGAAAGTGAAATGAAAGAGCACTGTAGGAAGCCACCCGACCGGCAGCAGATCAGCTTGTCACTTAGCATAGAGCAGGACAGCCCTGCTGGGCGAGCAGCGTGTCACTCGCTGCGCCTGGCTTTGTGGAGGGGCTATGCTGCTTCCCCACGCTACTCAGTACGTGTCAGCGCTAATCAAGTGTGTGATGGTATTACCCTTTAGCACTTGTAGCCCACCAGGGATTATCACCATGAGCTTCTGCACTGAGGTTTCTGAAGAGTGCAGGAGCAAGTTGCCGGGATGTCAGAGAGCCGTACAGAGAGCGTAAGTCACTGCGGTGGGAAACAGGCACCTCTTGTCTTTCCTATTGAACGTGTGTATGAGAGAGAGAATGAGTAACAAACCTGCTTGTTGTGCTTTCCTAAGCAAGACATACAAAGCTGAATATAGGATAAAATATATAAGCTTAACCTATGTATCTCTCAGTTCTTTGTTCTGTTTTTGTTTTTGTATCAGTCAGGAATTAAAAAAACATCTGCCTCCTACACCAGCTGAGTTTATACAAATAATATGTTCATTTAGTGATGTTCCAAATGAAGATTGCTCCCCCTTTCCAAGCTATTAGTAAAAGGAAACAAAATTCGGGCAACATCATATTTTTAGAAGGTATGAGATTTCAAGGAGGAAGGGAGAGGGATTTTAGGACATTTTATTTACACTTAAGGAAAGAGGGTTCTATTCCAGCTTGCTCTGAACATGGAGGCTGTTTTAACTGTTTGCTGTTGTTCCTGTTGTTTGTAACCAAATACCACTACAGATGAAATCTTTTGATACCTTACTGTTGCTTCCAAACAGCTTATGTTTGATGTTGACTTCTGCAGCTCCCTGGCTGCAGAAGTCAACATCAAAAGTTTATGAAGAATTCTAGGTCCAGCTGTGAAAGGCTCAGATTTTTGTTAAGGAGGAAAAAAGGAAAAAAAAGGAAAAAAAAAAAAAAAAAAAAAAAGAAATATCATCCCCTACATCAAAATGAAAATCAGGATGCAGATGCACAGAAGTGCAACATTTCATTTTGCAGCAGTTGTCACATAATATTTATATTATTTATTTATAAACTACAGTTTTTGGAGCACATGTTCTTGTTCACTTCATATCATATGTTGCCAAATGTCCATAGAGCCTCCTTGAGTTTTGGACGTGTGCAGGCAGTTCTAGCTAGCAAAAGCTATTTGAAAGGAGCCAGAAAACCGATTCACACACTCCTGAATATATATATTGAACACTTCTTTGCCAAGCACTAGCCTAAATAGAGCCATACTGTAATAAAGCCCAAGAACTTATTAATTCTCAGAGTGCAGAAGCAGGTGCTGTAAGTCTGCTACTTCTGCAGATTTGGTTTGTGCTTCTCTTGTGATAGTTTTTCCTACTCTTTTTTAACTCTTAGGGCAAAACATTTCCAATACAGAGTGATGAAGTGAGCTGTAATTAGCAAGGGAACTCAAGAAGTGAGGATATTAAATTCACACCCCAAGCCACCAAAAAAAATGCCTACTTTTCTACAGTTAGTACATAAGCCTGTGAAGGGGAGCAGGGACATCTGCATGATTAAGATCCAGTGGCCTACATTTTTGCTGAAGGGAAGAGCTGGTGCAGTAACTTGAACCCCATCCTATTTTCCTAGCTCTGTGCCAGTGCAGTCTGCTCTGTCTGACACCTTGGTGGTGCACATTGCTCAGCTCCCTACCTGCATTTGTGCAGCAATGCAGCTCAGAGTGGCGGTGGCACAGCGAGAGGTGCACAAGCTCTTCTCTGTGAGAAGTTTCCATTTTTCCTGGCCAGAAGAAAATCCATGCACAGGTGTGGGGTGCTTGTTTGTGAGAGAGCGCTAGAGAGTTATAATGTGTACAGTGTAAAAGGTCAAGCAAAAAGTCTCATATAAGAAGCAAGCAGGATGAGGGAGGATTTAGATACAGGATGAAAATTGTAAAACTGGCTTTTACAATGCTATTTTGTTTCCATGGGAGGGGGAGACTACTCTAATGATTTTGTATCAGAGGCAAATGAAATATAAGTAAGTAAGCATTACTACATTTATTTTTCGAAAAATAGCTGAACTGTCTTCACAACAACAGTCCTCAATCCTTAAAGAAAGTCAGTACACAAAGGCATCTCAGTTTCTGACTCATATACGTAATTATTTCATTGAAATAGCATATGTCATCAATAAGGCTGCATTTGCCTACTACAGTATTGGTCTGCTAGACTACTTTTTAGTGTAAAGGTATGACCTGTATGTTACTTCTCCTATAACAGCATTGCAGAGACCGTGTTTGAAATCTGCCAATTTCAAACAGGTTTGAGAGAGCAGAACCTTCTGAGATATTAGGTTGCTAAGTATGTTACGAAAGTAGGCAGCTAGGCAGAGAAAAACTCTCCCTGTGAGCACTTTCAATGCAAGAAAGGCAGCAGCAACACTGCATTTATTAAACATCACAGAGATATCACAGGGATGCTCTCTCCTCCACAGGAAACAAGTCTTTTGGGCCCACTTCTTACAAAAATATAGGGTAACCTCTGCTCACCTGTTACATCCCAGATGCCCTCTGTAATGTGAGGACTGGGACCATCCTGGGAAACAGGGAGTCCCAAGATGTGCAGAAACCCACCTTCACAGGAACCCACCTGGAGTCACACAGGAAAGTCAAAAGGAGATGGGAGCTGAACACAGGTGTCAACTTGTTACACCAGTCACTCAAAAGGCCCTCAGCATCCTAAGAAACAGGACCACCACATGGTACTATTCATAAAACAAACAAAGAAGCAAAATAAACAAAACAACAACAAAACACTAAATCCATTTCAGGTTCTTCTGGGAAGAAAAAAACAGCAAACCTTGCCCAGCATAAAAGGACCTGAGAACCAAACCCATACTCACATAAGCTTTCCCTCCAGCTACAAAGCAGCTTGGCTATGCTCAGTTAAGGAAGGCACAGCTGGCAGACCAGGGAACTTCTGTACTCCCAGTTTAAGCAAGTCCTCACAAGGATAAGTGAATAAAATTGTATAATTTTTCATGCAGCACTATACTCTCCCTCTGCTAGCCCTCCCTCCCCCAGTTATAGACAAATGAGTCTCACCCAGCTTCTTGCCACTCTTCTTTGCATTTAGATTCCTAATTAGGCAGAGCTGGGGCTCTCCTCTCCAGTGGAACAGCCCAAGCAGGTTCAGCACTGCTCTTCCCTGCTTGTACCCTGGTCTCTAACCCTTCCAAAGGTGTGAGGTCTGTAACAAAGTTTGCAAGCATTTGAACTTCATTTCTGGTGTCCCTTGTATTGCCTCTAATCTTCCTGCAATTTTTAACTATTGAAATTCCTAGTGTGGGAAAAAAAAAAAAAAAAAAAAAAAAAAAAAAGCCTGTTGCAAATCTTGATGTTTTCTGTTTGGTAACAAATTTTAAACATTGCATTAAATTTTGAAGAAAAGGAACATTTGTTCTTCAGCATACTTATTCATGCACATGCATAAAATCAATGTATTGATGCGAAGAGTATGTGGCTAATGTTATTCACAAAAACAATGAAAATGGAAGTGTTCAACCGGCTATCATTACATAAAGGATAAAAGATCCAAGAGGAAAAAGACTTGAACAAGTTATATCCTGTACGGAAATCTTTTACTTTTTTAATATATTTTTATATTAAAAAGTAAGGGGAAATAAAGCAAAAACCACTATTTCTATTCATCCCACAAAATATAACACACCATGAGCTTGAGTGAAAGCTATTATTCCCAACCCCTCCTTTTGCAGGCACTAGGTGTTGCCATAAATCCCTGTGTCTGACTGATGGGGTAAAGACATCTCTTCAACCTTCATTCCATTTTGCTTGACTTTTACAGCTTTAAAAATTATGTCAATATTGCCTTTGCAGTATAATATTTTTGTAGTTCTCCTTGGGTCTATTCTAAGTTTGCTTAAAGATAAAGGAGCTGATAATTAATTTGCGCAAAAGAAAAGGCAGATCCCTAAATCCTTTCCTGTTAGAAAGCAAACTGAAGTGTGTGCTTAGTAGTGGTGGTAGTTAAGGGGTTTCTCATATTCCTCCTTTTCCCATGAGGAAGAAGGTGATTTGTAAAAGCCCTTATTATATAGGAGGATCCACTTACAGTGTTTGAGGACATGAATTCAATCCCAGGCTATGAGTTTTAACATTCTTGTCAAGATTCCCTTGTTAGCACTGCTTATGAGCTGCTAGAATAAGCTGTTTATGAAATAAAGCCTAGAAGCCTCCACTTGAGATGCTCAACAACAAACAACGCATTTCTATTAATCACATTTAACCCAGAATTATGGTACATTATCCTTTAGCTATCCATTAAGCCAGCCAGAGAGGTAGGCATCCTCGCAAATTGGCCACTACTCTTTCCTATGGCTTGTTTTGGATGCAATACAAATGCCAGTCATTGAGAGGCAGAGCTTTCCAAAATTGTTCTGAACAAGAAATTTAGATGTTGAAGGCAACACTACCTTTTTGACTGCCTTCAGAAACAGCTGCTGCTGGAGCCTCACTCAGCACAGACAACTTCTATTGCCCACTACTGGCCTGTGTTCATCAGACTCCAGTTCCTGCTACAGTCCTTAAATATATGCAATGGCATGATACGGCTATTGGAGACTTAAGCTTGTTTTTTTGTTTTGTTTTGTTTAGTTGTTTTGTGTTTTTTTTTTGTTTTTTTGTTTGTTTGTTTTGTTTTGTTTGTTGTTTGTTTGTTTGTTGTTGTTGTTGTTTTTGGTATGAGGCATTTCTTACAACTCTAATAATCTCTCCTGGTCATTGCAATCAAGGCGATGTTCATTATGAAGTGACATGATTCCCACCTTTTTCCAGCAGGTGGGATTCTGAGATTCATCCTCATTGAGTGAGTAGCATTTATAGGAGAGAATTCACCATATGCTGCTGTTTCAATTAATTTTGTAAGTTCTTCTTGCTGCACAAGCTCTGTACGGTGTTCAAAGAAAAACTCTTCAGTTGTTAGTTTTGTGATGTGGTTGTTCTTTGGGGAAGCTCTTTTAAAAAGCAAGAGGATGTACTCTGCCTCAGTCTCTGTGTGAAAACTTGGGCATGTCTACACAGACCTAACTGCTGGTATTTGGGCTGATCTTCCTACAGCAGAATTGTACAATCTATTTAATTTCTGTCCATAAACTAAATCTTACAGCTTATATGAAACAAGCTGTAGGAAGTTAAAAATAAATTGCTTAAATCCAAAGCACTTCCTGGAAGATTCTTGAAATATTTTTTTTTTGTACACATTACTGAGAAAGG